GAAGGTCTCATTGGGCGTTGTGTCTTCGTGTGTGAGCACCTCGCCAACCAGTCCTTCTGCGTGTCGGGCGGTTATACAGTGGCACAAGCTTTTTGGGCCACTTTGGAAAAAGCAGAGTTGAGGTGGCTGTTGTGATGATGCCTCGACACCCTCTCCCTCCGGGCTTGCATTGTGTCGAGGTTCTGCGTTTGTGGAATACATGGTCAGCGAGGTTGCGTGGACTCCGCTCTGCATTGTGGTTACATTTGGTGCTTTGTTTTTTACTGTGCTTAAATAGTAATTTGTCTTTTTTTTTTTTTCGTAATGACATTTGGCAGTTTTTTTCGGCCCCCCGGGTCCTTTTTTTGCTTTTTCCAATTTGTCCATTCCTGCGTAGACTCCTCGCAACATGGTTTGCGCAGTCTTCTTTGCCGACATATTTGTTGTAGAGCCGTGGCGCAGCAACGCTGTTGAAAACTTTCAAGCCACTGTCGCAGACGATCGCACATTGGAGCTTGCGGAGTTCCACCGACTGGATGATCTTCCTTGCTGTGCGTATCTCCGTAACGTTGGCCGAGCCGTCGAAATTCTTTCGGCATTTAGGCTCGTGGCCTTGCAACTGTTCATATCCTTTTCAGCACTCTTTTGGCCCAAGGCTATAACCGTTGCAGTAGTTGTTTGCGACTTCATAATCCAGCACTACGCCCCTGTCCAATTCAATGACGACGCCAACGTTGAAATAAGGTGTGGCATCGCTTGTGCCACATTCCGTCGTAACTGATGCAGACATCCTGTATCACCTGCTCGTTGCCATTCTATGTTCCCGTCGTCTTCCACGGCATCCACGCCGCCTGTGCCATTGCATTAGCAGACGCTCTTGTAGCTGCATTGTGCACTTTTGTTGCGACCTCCCAATATGATTTGAGGTGCATTGACAGGAGGGCATGCAGTTGAATCAACAAACCGATTAGCTTCGTAAAGCCAACGCCGCAGTTGTGCGAGACGATTCCGAGCTGTGCAGCAAGTTTGGTCTGTTTCGTTGCGTCAATGAGAGCAGCTTCGAAACTACAACTTCACAGGCGGAGCACTCGACAATAAACGTTGGGTCAGGTCCGGCATCACTTTCTTTGAGTTCCAAATCACAAGTGCGTCAAGTCGGGCCAGAGCGGCGCTTCTCACTCCGTAAACAAGGCATGTCCACCAGACTGTAGTCTGCTGCCTGTCGCCTCAGAGCCCCTCGAGACGCCTGGCATCTTGAGTGCTCCTGTCGTTTTCGCTTGCCTCCAGAAAACTATTCCGCTCAAAAGTGGTAAGCGTGTTCAAGTCGCGCAGTGTAGCACTCTCGGGTACTGATGCCGCTGCTGCAGGATCCAATGGAATGGGCAAAGGCTCTAGCACAAAATCATCTTTGGCCACTCCGTCCTCGCAATATCCTGAATTGCGAGCGGCGGCCAAAGCTCTCTTGCACAGCTGAACTTCGCTACAAGCGTCCTTGAAACGATGACCGAAAAAAATGTCAGCTTTTCCACTCTTACGAAGAAGGAAGACCAGCGGAGCTGTACGATGGAAAGCAATTTCCGGCCGCAAGTCGGCAAGCCAGAGTGGAAAGGCTGCTGCCATCTATGAGCGACGGTGGCAACCAGATACGTGGCTTGCCGCCGTCGCTCATAGATGGCGATAGGTGTCCAGAGTTCGGTGTCTTCATTTCTTTGCGGGCGATACAATCCTAGGGAAACTAGCCCTTAACAGCTCCGCTGTAAACGCTCACGAAGAAAACTAGAGACTGACAGAGCAGCGAAGTACGCTTCTAAATGAAAACTGTACGCCAAGCGAGCCAGCATAGTTAGTGGGCACACGACGTGTGGGGGCCAATAGGTGCTTGCGAGGGTACAACCTTCTCGCTAGGTATAGACCGACACGCGGGCTTGACGTCACGGTGCTGCGGCGGCGCTGCGATCGCGCCGAAGCCGGGGGGTGTGGGCAAAAGCGCGCACGTTTTGCATGGGCGTCATGGCATTTCAGCATGCCGCGAAGCTGGGTTGCTGTTAATTGCACCGAAATGTACAAGAAAAGAAGCGGAGTGAGTTTCCACAAGTTCCCGGCAGACTCTGAAAGGCATAGAAGGTGGATAATATCCGTGGATCGAAAAAAATGGTCGCCTTGCGCGAACGACCGTTAGTGCGTCAAACACTTTCTTGAATGCAAGTACGGCTTCCATTTTAATCTCCGTCCCAAGGCTTGGTTATGTGCAAGGAAACCGTTGTCTGATCGAGACCACCCGGATTTTGTTCCCATGGTGTTCGCGCACAAAGCACCGGCCAAGGGCTGGTCGGAGGCTCCCTACGACCGTGCTATCCAGCAGAAGGGGATCGGCGACAGAACGGCAGTTTTGTAGGCGTTACCGAAAAAAAGTAACGAAATATGTCACTCGTTACTTGCAAATAAAAGGTACGCGTTACTCAGCTACGTTACCTAAAAATAAAAGGAACGTGTTACCGCTACCTATAAAAAGTAATGCACAATACTTCTGCGTTACTTTTTAAAATTATAATTTAACATATTTTATGGTTTTGGCGATACAGGTCATATATCAAGGAACATTATGTACATGCAGAAACTGAACATAATTACTTTATCTCTTTTTACGGTTTCACCTAAATACTTACGAGAAAAAAACGCATAGAAAAACATGGCTTGACGCCTAAAACACGGAAAAAATTTAAGTGTAATTTCTTCAAGACTTGGGAAGTAGTAACGACTAACGTAGCTATGTTACTTGAAAGAGTAACATAAGTACGTTACCCGTTACTGTGTCGAAAACGTAACGAGTAGGTTACTACGTTACTGAAAAAAGTAATGCGTTACCAACAACGCCGTTACTTGTAACCTGTTACGGCCAAGACTGCAGAACGGACAAACCGTTACTGCTTGTCATGCCTTGTGGTCATGATGGTAGGAAAAATGTCATACCTTGACTTGAAGACGCTGTGTGCATTTAATCAATTAATGAATACACACACTTCCGCAGACCCAGAGTCTGCTGATCCCGCCGGCAGTGCGGAAACCTACTCGAAGTAATCGTAGACCTCGAGAGACTTGTATGCCTGCAGCGTGTCGACCGTGAACTGGCTTGGCGAAAAAAACTAAATGTATGACGACGTGAGCCGTCGACTTCCTTGGCAGCAACTGTACGTCGGAAGCCCAGCAGGCCTTGTTTACGGCGTACGGATCCTCGAAAGCAACGCCGTCCATGCGCAGTTTGTTTCGATACCGCTGCCGTTCAGGCTCGGGTAGTGAGCTCAAATAGTCGGGCATAGCACACGATACGTTGTCAGGAAATACGACGCAGAAATAAAGCTAAAAGCATCCCTACAACGTCACCAGCGAGCGCACGCCACACAACGCAATGGCGAAAACAAGGAGAGCCTGACCACCACGTTTGTTTCGATACCGCTGCCGTTCAGCGTATCGAAACAGCGTATGCTATGGCCGCTGAAATAGTCGGCCATAGCATACGACATACCTTGTGAGGAAATACAACGCACAAATAAAGATACAAGCGTCCCTACAATGTCAACAACGAGCGCACGCTTTAGAACGCAATGGCGAAAACACCGAGAGCCGGGCTGCTTTTGCCCACATAGCTACCGCACATGCGCGGCCTTCCGGCAATGTTGGTAAACAGAGCCGCTCCGCGTGTCGGTCTATAGTGCAACAATTTGCGCACGTGCTGTCACTGGCGTACCAAAAATAGTTGATAACCAGATAAGTATTCTGAGGACGCTAATGAAATTCCTTTAATAATGAAACTCCGGGAGTCTTAACTTAAAAAAAAAAATTGTATTCAAAATCAACTAAACTTTTTTTTTTTTTTTTTTAAGTGGGATGATTGAATTTTTGGGACAACAAGCTCTAGAAGTTTGTTCCTGACTCTGATTTGTCAAAAGTACTTCTGCTTCCCTTTAAGCCAAAGCAAAGTCCAGTGTGTATTGTCAGCCGGTAACAGCCAGTCGGCGCCAGCAGAGTGAGAGCCCACGGTTATGGCCCGTCTCATAACTTTGCAAAGGGTGAACGATAGGCCCCATATTGCGTGCTGACAGTTTCAATATGCGAGCTCAATGCACACATATTGGAGCATGATGCAGCGAAAAGCCTGATACTTCGCAGTACAAATGCACTCTGATGATACATAGTCACGCTCCACTTGGACCACCAGGGTCGTATCTTTCACCATACTGGCATGTTATTCGATCACGCTGTCCTGGCCTACCCAGTATTTCTTGCCTTAGACACAAGGCTAAGCGGTGCCACCAGAGTAAAAACTCACATTTGATCAATGATTAGGTATGCCTCTCCTAGGCATACCCAATGGTTCGTGCTTCGGTCGCTAGATAGCGCCAAACCACACAACGTTGCAGGTTGCATATATAAATTGAGTAGCAGCCGGTGCTCTTATGTTCCCGAGTGCTCCGACTAGCACAATCTAGTGCGACGCGAAAGATCTCGAACAATCTGACAAACACTGCCTGCGCTCGTAGAGCGACGTAGTTCGCCATTTCACGGCATCCAGTAAGATTTCAAGTCTGAAGTATGGCACGTGAAACTATCCTCTTCAATGCCCGGTGAGCACCCCCTAGGTTGGGGCAGATACTTTAGTAGGGAAATACTGGACGCTTTCCTCGTTTGTGTGAGACAGGACTATGAAAAAGACTCCAAACCGAAGGATGGTGCCGGCGTCCACCTTTCTGTTTTGGGCAGTGCGTCCCGCTGCGTTTGAAGCCGTTTTTGGTCTCTTATTGTCACATTCACAAGTTCCACCTTTTGGCTTAATGTCTGGACTTAAAAATGTCTCCTTTGGATCATTTGTACTCGTGCACGGCATCTAGTTTTCATTCTTAACAATGTATTTATTAGCGCGTCGTTGCACGTGCGGGGGTAGGGAAGGTAGGACGGCGAACAAGTCAGCCGAAGTGGAAACAGAATGCCCCGTGCGTCTCTCAACGTCTGCCCTTCCCTTCCAGGTGGAGGAAGCAGTGGCGGTGCTGCAAGCCCACCAGGCCAAGGAGACGGTGGTGGTGGGCTCGCTCAAGAAGGAGTGACCGACCCTGCCTGCCGCCCACCCGACCACGTGAACCCGTCCCACCGGGAATCAAGGGGGGAGGGAAAACCAGATGGTGAGAAAATGTCAGAAAAAAAACGCAAAATGCTCTTATAAAAAAAAAATCGAAAAATGTATACCACATTACCGAGGCCCAGTTTACTACCCCAATTTTTTTTTTCTTCTCGGGTTTTTTTTTTTTAAATTTTGAAATTTTGCTATTACAAATAAAGAGACCCTTTTTTTTTTGTCTGGATCGTTGCCTGTCTGGTGTCTTTATTTCCGAAGAGGTTCGCCGGAAAGCTTGGTGCATGTGGTATCCAAGATCGAAGTAAAGGGATTTGTCTTTCCCTTTTCGATGCTAGTGAGGTACTACAGTCAAACCCGTTTATAACGAACAGCAGGAAACTCTACGATCAGTTCGATATAGCAAGTGGTTCGATATAGCAAAAACCATTTACAACGAACTTGCACAATCCGTTCGTTTTAAGGCAAGAGCTTCTCTTTTTCATATCTTCACCTCCGCCTTGTAACACCGCTCTGTGAAGTTTGTTTTTCTTTTTTGTTTTTTTCTGCATGCGTGCATTTTTTTTTTTTGTTTAGCTTATCTTCCCGTTTGAATCGTTTATCTTCGTGAGCAGACCCTTTGGGATTAAGTTTTTTTTTCTGTGCGTGCGTCCAATTTTTTTTTAGCTTTCTCCCCTTCTGAATTGCTCCTCCTTGCTCAATTTTGTTCGCAACTTGAGCTTTTGAAATTTTCTTTCTTTGCTACTTCTTTCTTGGGGGAAAAGACAGGCTAGAAGGGATTGTTTGTGCGTTTTTGGAAGCCTTCCTGGGGGAAAAAGTTTGATAAAGCCAATTTGTTGTTCGTTATAAAAAGTACTTTTTACGTGCATTTTTATTTAAATTTTCTGCGAGTTCGATATCGACAATAATTTGCTGTATGTGGGTTCGTTCTAAACGGGTTTCACTGTAGTGTACGATGATTAGTGAACAGATATAGGCATGCCCTGTATCCGTTTACTATACAGAATTGCGAGCATGTCGTCTAGGCAGGTGCCTCACGTGTGCAAGTTTGTGTAGCGTATCTGTGAAGACGACTTTGGCAGGCTTGCTTACTAGGATAGAGACCCGGTTACCTGGTGTCGTGCTGTGGGGCTTCACTACCTAGATGCAGCCCAGCACTGGCAAGAGTGCAGGTCTGCGTCAAATGCTTGTCGAAGGGAGGCTTCGAGCAAAGCTGCACCTTGTGCAAGTAACCAATTGCATTGAACCAGTGCCAAAGCTATGCTAGTCTTGACAATCGCACAAAATATGACTCGGTATTCACAAACTCAACTCTGTGTCATCACGGCGTGTCGGGTGCATTTCCGGTCTGGGGCTGTGGGCAGAAGTCCCCATTCCAGACGTGTATTCCTGCGTTGTTTTGAAAGGAAACTGACGAAAACCTGCCTTCTCGTTAAAACACTGCGACTGGGGCCGTGCCAAAAGAGTAGAACGGTTTGAAGGTCAGTATTCACGTCCTCGGTTGATCCGAGAATCTGGATAAGTGCCGTGAAAAGGGAAAAGCAGACACCGTTGGACAATGATTGCTTGGGCGGGAAGCACTTTGGGTTGAATTCACAGATACTATTTGTGGTCATCAGATTCATTTGTTTTCCAACATGACAGCCAGAAAGCCGTCAAGTTGTGCGGGCTACATTCAGTGAGTCTTCAAGTTCAAACGGCTGCCTGATCGTTCGAACCGTCGTCTGCTCTTTGAAACGTTTCTGCTCGTTGCCGGCCCGTAGACCAAATGTTGGCCCGGTACTTGCGACAAGAAGTAAGTGTAGGCCTCAAAAGTCTTAAGTTTGAAGGTTGGTAAGCAGGCTCGATGTACGCAGTAGATACAAGGAGATGTTGATCATGGTTACCAGTGGCTATCACCGACTTGTTCTGCCTAATTCACTTGGTCCGATTCTGCTTGCGATTTTCAGTATCGACGTCGACCATCTCAGCTACGGTTCACGCTTTTGCAGCCAGAGCGGCGTCTCGACTGAAAATTGCGAGCGAAATTTCGTCATGTGAATCTGTCTTTAGCATACATACTGCGGCATCCATGCGGAATGAATCGCCACGTCACATTATTAATGCTAAGATTTGCGGTGTAACAAGCCTTGGTAACTTCGCTGGCGCCGCTCAAGTAGTCTGACATCACTAGGAAGACTCGCACCGATGTCGACAACATTGCATTTTAATGGTTTGTTTATGGGCGACTGCGAGCTCCTTGCTTACACTCCCATCGCGCATGCGTGGCGCCGGTGGCGTCTGCTAGGGGCGCTCCGATTTGTTTGTAAACATGAGTTGGTGTATACAATAGGTGCAAAGTTCACAACGTCAACACTTGTTTTCTTTCCTCGAGCTTTTGCATTGATCAGCACTTCCCACGCAATTCATTTCTGAAAGACCATGAAAGTTGATGTGCTATGTAATTTACTGCATTTTCACACTGCTCTATTCGATTTAAAAGTGCAGCCTTTAAATTCAATAGAGCAGTGTGGAAGTATGTTGCACTTTTCTGCACCCATGCTGGCTGGTGAAGGTAAATAGATTCGCCAAAAAATTGTCGGTACTGCAAGTACTTACCCAACGTATTCGCCAAAGAATTATCTGTACATAGAGCCTGTAGTCAGTAGCGGATCACAAATTCGGGCTATCTCCTCCCACCCTGTTCCACTTTAGCGGGGCGAATGCGGGAGTGGAGGCTATAGTGATGCAAAACTATCGATAGTCGTCTATCTTTAGTACTATCGATAGTTATTCGATAGTCGACTATCGATATTTTTTCGATAGTCGACTATCGATAGTGCTATCGATAGTTTTTCGATAGTCGACTATCGATGGTTTTTTACTATACTGGCGACTAACGATACTATCGCTAGTGCTATCGATAGTCTTGCACCACTATAGTCCGTTACAACTCAAGAAGATAGGTCGAGGGTAAGATGGGCCGGGGAGGAGGAAGCAGACGAAACGCTAAAGAGAGGAGGAGGTTCCCCCTCTCTTCAGCGGTTCGTCTGCTTCCTCCTCTCCGGCCCGTCTTGCTCTCGCCCTAACGCTCGCCTCCCCCTTCTTCTTTTTTCGCCCAAACCCCCATCTTCGTCATCACTGAAAGCTGAACCAAAGTTGGGATGGTAAGTGCCTGGGCTAGTTGGTGCCCCGTTTGAAAAAAAAAATTAAAGCGATAAATAGACAAGAGGGAGCGACGCAAACTACTAGTGTCGCAAAACTATCCATAGTAAACTGTCGACAGTACTATTGATAGGTTTATGATAGTCGACTATCGATAGTTTTCCGATAGTCGATTAACGATAGTTTTCTGATAGTCGATTATCGATAGTTTTTCGATAGTCGACTATCTATAGTACTATCGATAGTTTTTCGATAGTCGACTATCTATAGTACTATCGATAGTTTTTCGATAGTCGACTATCGATAGTACTATCGATAGTTTTTCGATAGTCGACTATCGATAGTTTTTTTCACTATCGATAGTCAGATTTCTGGCGACTATCGATACTATCGATAATTTTGCACCACTAGGAGGCTACCTCTACTAAAGGAGTAAGAGGAGCTTACCCTGAACTCGTAACTGGTTACTCCTAAAGGTAAAACATGTTCACACAGTTGTTTTGTTGTGTTGAAACAAGACTGCCAGTTACGGCGAAACCAGTACCTCGAGAGCAGCATGAATTGCTCGTATTCCACGACACAACCAAATGCAGCAGAGTGTCATTCGGTGGCCATCCCTTGAACTGCGAGCGCTATGCCAGGGACGCAGGTCTACTCTGTCTTGCCACAATGCGCTGTTTTAAGGGTAGGATATTGGTGCATTTATTCCTCGGCGTCTACTCGCCTTGGCCAAAATTTGCTTGACAATTGCGCTGGCCACGGTCATCTAAGCAGCGTGGTCTGAAGTTCCAGACTACGTTGCCATGTCTGCAATGCCACAAAGCTAAATGTCGCAGAAAAATGAGAAAAATGGCTGGATGGTAGCTGCTGTGATAGCAAAGAGTCAGGATCCCAGTCCTGAGGATATTGCTTTGTTACTATGTCTGCCGAACACGTATGCCCTCGCACTGCAGCGCTTCAGCCTTCACCGCTTTGCATTTTAAGCGACTGACGCGGTGACATTAGGTTTTGAATATTTTGCTTTGCCTAAAAAGGAAAAACGAAAAGAAATCGAGAACAACTTAAATTTAAATAAGGTATTCAAGGTAGTTCCAGTGGAGCAGTTGATCGAAAGGGCACGCAACTCTGGCTCGCTGGGGTCTGCATTCACGATTGGTCAGATGTTTGCTATGATTGATAATGCAATTAATGCAAAGGTGCAAGTGAGCTAGACAAGAATTAATAATCCCTGGAGAAGTGGGACAAAGGACAAACACAAATCTCCAAACACAGCTAGGTGGCTGGTGTGCGACTGAAAAAATCCGCCTGGTCCTGGTATCAAACCAGTGACCTCTCCATTTCCAGTGGAGTGCTCTACCAATTGAGCTAACCAGGAGTTGGACGTCAGTGGAGCAAACGGGTTTTATCAGTGTGAACGGCTTGCATTTTAATGTTATGATAACGCAAAGAGGCAAGCGAGCTATACTTCGTTTCAGCTTCCGTCCGAGCGCAGTCAAAGCTACGCGTAGCCGGAGCCAATCACACGCCAGCAATAGGTTGTGCGATCATGCCTGCACTTCTGTATCACTCCGCTGGTTGTCCGCACCGCCCACGCTCGCCGAGTATTTCGTCTGCAATGTGTGTTTCAACGGTATCGTCGGCTACAGGCTTGAAAAGTGCCCTTTCACGTTTTGAAATTTAGTCACGGGGATATCAGTACGTAGGCTGGCTGTTGGTGTCTGTGTCTGAGCTTTCCACCTGTTCGGCATAGTTTCGAGATGCAAGTACACGTTGGAAGGTCTCGATGACCCGGCTGTTGATGTTTCCTTGTATTGTCTGGATATACCAAGGCTCGAGGCTCGGTCCTTTCCACCAGCTTCTCGGCGTTCAATGTGATCGGCAGGTAAAGGGGTGCCCTGATTTTGCCGCGTATCGGTAAATGTAGTGGCCCGGTTCAGTTAACAACTTTGCAGTACGATGCGGCCGGAGTCTCCTGCCGAATGTGAAAGTAAGCATTCATCATGACCTCTCGCGCCTGACACCCAAACGTGCCTTTGCGAAAGGTCGTTTTGAAGCAACTTGGTGAGGAAAGCAGCAAAGCGCATG